ATCGTTGAAAACGGCTTACAAACGGATGTTCCAAGTAAAAGTGGGTCTGCAGTTCTATTGTACTATAAGCAGCCTTACTCAACACGTAAAGATACTTTGTGAATTCCGCAACTACAATAGATTGGAGTTGATGTGAAGATAGGACAACCGCATTTCGATAAAATTATTCAGCATTAATTGCGAGAACATCGTACGAAAAATGAACCTGAGCTGAGATGATTTACGGCATCGCCACTTACGCTCTAAACACACAGCCACCTGCTCCCATTGGTTTCAACTCATGGGTTCCAGCAAATAATGACTTCTATCATAGACAATTTGGATGCGCCACTGCGACAAGTCGAACCCCGCGCACATGGCCCACGAAGTCTTCCATCTCTCCGGGGTCGGCAAATTGGTACCAGACTTGTCTGGGAGGTTAGCAGCACTGGCTCGGCACATCGTTAGGCCACCGCTAGTCACTTTAAAGGCCAGATATACATTCAGTCACCTCCAACGATAATTAATGAAGTCGAATGCTTGGCGCATCCTTCAGGAATTGGTCAACGCCAAGAACTTCATCTTTTTATTGTGTGCCAAAAAACTACTTAACTGTTTAGGCGTCTTTGATTAGAAATTTATGCTATCCGCTTTTTATTTGCTTTCTTCAATGGGTTATATCGCAACTAGATTTTTAAGGACTTTCACGCCTTTGTTGAAGAAGTTGAAGCCATTGAACACGATATTGAACAATCAGATTGGAAATCTCCGACTGAGTTGGACTGTGGTTTGGATGTCATTTTGAGCTACACTAAAAGCTGCATTGAAATTCTATAACGAGTAGATCTTTCTTTCAAATTATGGCTCCGATTTTTCGTCGAATACGATAATCACGGGCGTTGGTCTTCAATGTATGATGCTCAATGAGCAGATTTTGACCATTTAGTGTCTACAGTGCTTTAGACCTTCCCCTAAGTGAGCGTTCGTCCAAGGTTTATGACCGTCGTCCAGTCTTTTGTCCTACTGGCAACCACAATCTGTCATATGTTTCTTTTTTTTTTCTTAAGATAACCACTTCACTTTGATCCGTTCACCTGTTAGCTCTCATTTTTCGAAATGCTCATACTTTTTACACAACTGGTTTTTACCGACAGAGAGTTGCATTAAGTTGAATCCTGTTGAATGTAGTAATCAGCAAATCTCAAACCTTTTCCAGTAGAAAATTACAACGAATAAGTTCAAGCGCCTCATGCTTTGTGGGAACGAGAGGTGAATAACGAAAACTGTACGTAGATCGGAAATCGTACGGAAAAGTGGCAACCAATATGGGTCCTTGGGAGGCGGTTGAAGGTGCTACAGGTAGAGGAGTACTTAAGGGTTAGATCTCGAGTAGTTTACCACAGTAACTATTGGTATACAGTGGAACTCATTTTTTAGTTAGCATGACAAATATTGGATGAAGGCAATTGGTGCCATTAGTAACTCAAAAGACCGACTTTCTCTAAATCTCGGTGTAAATAATCGGTATACTGACTTAAATCTCCTTATGAACTGATCTTTTGAGCTGGTTCGACGTTGGTACAGTTGTCGTTGTTGTTGTTGGTCGATGGCTGAGGTTTCGGCGATTTCGCCTTCTTCGGAGCCCTGCTGTTGCGAGTGGGACTGGCGGTATTAATGTTTTGGTTTCAGAACATTCATTTCACAAATAAATTAACCACCACAGAGAAACCATCACATCGGATCACGATATTGGGTAACGGACATTACAAAGGCATGCCAATTGGCTATACTGTACATGTAAAGCACTTAAGCTGATAGTCGAAAGGTATAGGGTGTTTGGAAAACGGTTTCACAGTCACATTGGTGAAAATGCTTCGTATCTATCTTATGAATTGGACCAACATCGTTGAGTGAGTTAAGAAGATGATCTTCCAAACATATTTTTCTACCGTCTTTCTTTTGTTTTTCTAGAAATTTCCATCCATAAATTGGAAAGACCTTTTACTGGTTCAGCCACGGTTGTTCTGCTATATCAACCTGCGGCGACTCTTGAAAACGAGCTAAATTTCTAATTTTTAAAACAAACGAACGAATACATATGATACATCTGTTGTTTCCGGATGGACTATGAGAATTGGATGACATTCTTAGAAAGTGTAGTTCATCAAAACCCTTGTCCTAAGAGCTTTCAAATGGTCAATAAGTAGTTCCATTCGTATTTACTACTTTCCTATTAAAGAACTTTGCGCTCAGAAAGCAAACTGTATAGAATAATGAAATCTTGAGCGGATTGTTTAAAACTTGCCGCCTTAAAGGAAACGTAAAGCTTAATAATCAACTAACATGCCATTTTCTTAGGACGTTGTTACCCGTTTCGTAATAAATTTGTTTCAGAAACCATCAGGCTGCGAGAAAGTATCATGTGCTTTCACCGTGCTGTGTTTTCGTGTTTTCAAACACCCTTCACAAATTTACAGTACATTTGATTTCCTCGAACAGAAAGAAAATAACGAGAAGATCAGAATACCAAGTGTGGACGTATAGGGATTAGAGGTGGCTTAAATTTTAACTTTGCGCGTGAGGCTCAGAAGTGCTAGTGCAGATGAGTACCTGAAATGCGTTCGAAATGGTGGGAAATCACAAAATTCCGATAGCAAATGTGACTATGGGCCACTGAGTCGGGACTTTTCCAAACGTCTTAAAAACTCTTTTGAAAATTGGTACTAACACCGTCTTTCGTACCTCGTCGAAGCCCTCTACTTGTCTGCCTAGCAATCACTAGTAGAGAGTAAGCGAAATCATCTAGTGCTTGTTAAAACAAAAATTGTAGGCAAGAAAATTGTTCTATTCCCGGAAAAAATCTGAATTCTCAAGACCGACTTTCTGTTAACCTCGGCATTGACTGATAATTCGATGTTTTTCTTCAAAAAGCAGACACGAGGTTGTTATTATAGAATTTATTTGGATACAATAGACGACGTTTCGGAGGTTTCGCCTTCTTCAGAGCCTGGAAAGGTCACATTGAGATGCGATCTACCCAGCCAAACACTTTCATAACCCCAGCAGATAAAACAACAAATAAATTTGCATTCGCATAAGAAACAGCTTCATTTAAACACCTACCGTTTATTTCTTGTAAGTATTTAAGTTAGTTGATGGATAGCAGCCGCACAGAGTAATACACGGGCGATAACTGTGCCTGTGTCAGGTCATTAGATTAGCCTGAGGTATGGCGCCAGGTCACGCGTGATGACAAGACACTCCTCCTTGCGGTCCATTTTTGAGTTTTTGGAGTTGATTCGAAACGCTTCAAGAGTTTTATGCGCTGATGTTTTCGATTCCTGCGTGAGGATACCGATTCCTACTTCAAAATCTTCTCCGTTGTGTTCCTGCATCCTACACGCGCCTAGTGGAGTGTTTCAGATTTACCGGCTAGGTGTTCTTTTATGCAGACCAGAGCGATCTATACGTTTAGCCAACGTATTCGTCCCCGCACGCCTTGCAAAACATCAGATAGACTGTACCCGAACTCATGCAATCGTCGTCTCTGTCATCAGGGCAAATTGTGCAGTTTTTCGTTGGACACAGGCAGTTGCGAACTAGCTGGCGTCTTAGAGTGTCCGATGGTGTTTCTATCACTCTTACGGAATTCTCTAGACCCTTACGGTGATTGCATGAGTTCGAGCACAGTCTATTTGATCTCTCGTAAAGCGTGCGGGGACGAATACGTTGGCGAGATGGGTAGACCGCTCTGCGTCCGCATAAAAGAACACCTAGTAGGTAAATCTAAATGAAAACCAAACACTCCACTAGGCGCGCATAGGATGCAGTAACACAACGGAGAAGATTTTGAAATAGGAGTCAGTATCCTCACGCACGAATCGAAAACATCAGCACGTAAAACTCTTGAAGCGTTTTGGATCAACTCCAAAGATTCACAAATGGACCGCAAGGAGGAGTGTCTTGTCATCACACTTGGCTCCATCCCTCAGGCTGATCCAATGACCTGACACAGGCACAGTTATCGCCCGTATATTACTCTGTGCGGCTGCTTTCCATCAACTAACTTAAATACTTACAAGAAATAAACGGTGGGTGTTTAAATGAACCTGTTTCTTATGCGAATACAAATATATTTGTTAAGTTTTATCTGCTGGGGTTATGAAAGTGTTTGGCTGGGTAGATGGCATCTCAATTTGACCTTTCCAGACTGTGAAGGCGAAGCCGCCGAAACGTCAGCTATTGTATCCTAATAAATTCTATAATAACAACCTCGTGTCTGTTTATTGAAGAAAAACATCAAATCTTAATTCTATTATTTCAAATGATCCTATTCTGAGTGCTGGTAAAAGTAAGGCGCTATTATAACTTTTTATGTACTGCCCATTATTTCTTCACGGCCGGGTATTATGTAAATTACAACCACACCGATACTGAGATATCTGCAAAACACCCGCCCCATCCACCGGCCAGAGCGAACATCGATACCCTTACTCTGTGTTTCTTTCGGCTAGTTTTCTACCTAACGCTACCATCAGCACTCACCCGCAATGCGATTGATCTGCCGAGTACAAATCGGCATTGAACCCAGTTAAGTTGAGGCTGTAGTCGAAATCACATGTTAGTCTTTTATTTTCTGCCTACTATAATTTTTCACGGCAGTGTATGATGTGAAATACACTCGCAACGGTGCTCAAATATTAGGTAGATATGTAGGTAAGGAACTAGCTGAGAGATATGCAGAGCAAGGGTCTACGTAGGGCAGTGGGTAATACGCGAAGCCCTGGAAAGGAGAATCGTGGTCTGATCTAGCTCGGGGTCCAGGTTTTGCGAATATCTCAGCATCGTTGTAATGACGAGATGCTTGCAAAACTCCGGACCGCCGGTGTCTGCGGTGAGAAACGAACCCGCTACTACCTTTTCTTGCGGTCCGGAGTTTTGCAGGTATTTCAGCGTCATTGCGGTTGCAAGGCGCTAGTTTCAAACGATGTTCGACCAGAAATTACTAAAGCCGTACGAACTCAGACTTCCTGCTTAGGTTTTTTAAGAACCATGAGAGGCGGTGTCTTCGACGAATCAACCCGCAACTCCTCGTTAAGGTTCGTCGGACTGTCCAGCTCCTCCAAGACGTCTGATCCGGAACAGTCAGTGCCGGAGTCAAATGGCGAGTCCTGAAATGAAATTTTTGCCTCAACGCTACCTATGCAACTAGACTTGAAAGCAAACCTGAAGGACATCCTTAGGTACATCAACGAACTGATAGACAAGGCGTTGACCGTCGACCTTTTGTAGAATACCACGTTGATAGTAGTACCTGTATGCTTAGCTATTTTTTCCTTTACTTATCAATAATCTTTCCTGTTTTGCACACGCAGCAATAAGTCATCAAGCTACAACCATCACTGATTCCAATGTTTTCACACAGTCAAGACCATTCCGTTTGTGTTAACGAATTAGTGAGAAACTCCTGCGTGAAGGGTAAAGAACTCATTAGTCCAGTGACTGACCCCCCAAGTTATTATTCAGCTGAATCTACACTCGCTATCTTAGCGAATTGATAAATGGAACACGAAGGTGGCGACGTATCTCCGTGAGATCTATCATTATCGCGAATTTTAAGTTTTTCGTTTGTCCCTCTGTTAACGCTTATTTATTTTCTATGTAATGTTGCTGTTCACCTCAGAGCCCTGCCCATTGTTTCGTAGTTCATTCCGGGTTTGTTCTTATGCATTCCCCAAAGTCTTGAGACGGCCTTCGAATCGACAAGCTTGAAAATGCCCTGAAAAACAAACGTGAACTATGCCAGTGGTCGGCTAAAATAATCATCAGATGGCTGTGTCTGTCTTAAGCTTCATTAGTTCATCATCTCTATTATAGTTCAACAAGTTTTGTTTCACTGAAATAGAATGTGGAATGCAAGTCTCAGCTTAACTGGGTCCATTGGCGATTTGAGCTCCCAGATCAATCCCGCTGACTGGTGATTGCTAATGGCACTGATCGATAGAACTAGCTGAGAAAAATGAGAAACGAAGCACCCGCATGGTGCGGTGATGAACGCGCTAGCTCCATGAAAGGGTAATAGCGCGTTCGTTCCCACTGCAGACACATGCGGTCCGAAGTTTTGCAAATATCTCAGCAATATTATAGTTGTATCAGACATAATACCCTAGCGTGAAAAATTGTAATAAGCAGTAAATAAAAAGTTAACAGAATTTAGAATATTAATTGCTTTCGATAATTGCTTTTAAAATGCTTCTAAGGAATTTCGGAAAAGAGCTACATTGCTATACCTTTGATTGATCAATCCATTTGATGAATTTCGGGCAATACTCTTTGTCTTGCAGTAAACGAAGTAGAAATTCCCATAGATATGTGACTTGGCCGGAAACTAAATAACAAGTTCTTTCACTGTAAACAAATCCTGAAGTCAAAGCTGTCAAAATAGAGAAGGGTCTAACTGCCACTATGAAGGAGCAATGATTGTGTTAAGGAAATGGGAATTGTCGGTCGATATGTTTTCATCTACTTTTTCGTTCTTATTTCTACACAGTTGGAAATGATTTCTTTCCGAGGAATAGAAGTAAGTAAAGTAGTAAAGAAGATTGTCCACGAGACTCAGTCGACGATCACAGTTATTGTGGTTTCAAACAATTCTCATGATGAAGCACTCGTGAAGAAAAAACAAGGTGCCTGCCTTCTTTGCTTCGTCGTCGTTGCGCCAGCAGATGCGAGGGCGGTGGTGGTGGTTCGCTGTGTCGTCGTGATTCCAGCATGTACGGCATCGAGAACATTCCTGACGATTTACACTGATTCTTCACTGTGGATGGCAGATTCTCCTTCTGAAGCATCCCGCAACTTGTCATGGTGCTGCCACCGATCAAAGACTGTGCTGACAAACCGCATACTGTAAAAGTCACGCATTTGAAGAACATAGTAACTCTTTCCAAGCAGAATTTCACACAAATGCTACAAGTTACTGCATCACCACTTTTATGACACAACGTAACTGTCTGTCTATTCAAACTAAACTTTGACGTTTCTCATTTATAATGATCTACATGTAATAAAAAGATGAAGTACTGACGGGAGAGGAATTCGTATCCGACACTGAGAATTGGAATCGACGCGTAAACTAGCATGGTTCTGACCAGCTATCTTTCATTTTCAGTGAAATAAATATAACTAGGTGAGGATCACTGGCTACGCCGGGCTGATATCACTTCATCAGCAAACTCTTGGTGAGCTAACGATCAATCTAAGCTTTCGATTACGTCGCGTCATCGTCATTTTGCACGAAGACAAACGATCTTTGACCATGCTACTATTTTCTACTCAGTATTTATTTTATTCTGCGGGCGTCATTGGTCCTTGCGAACGAATTTCACAACGACACCAATATGAAATCAAAAAGTACTCTATAGGATCGTTTTGTATTTCAGGCAGAATTTTACCCCAATAATCATCTTCGGAATCCGTGCTACTGTCAGATAATCTGCTTAGAAGTCCGCTACTAAGGATGGTCCAGGAGAACCTCACCTGTGTTCAGTAACGTCGACGGATGTTGGATTGTGGACGGCGTCAGAGGGATCGGCGTTGGGAGGTCGCCACCAGACTGCGCCACCCACGGCAGCAACGGGGAGCAGAGCCATGGGCTTACGAAATGACTGTCTGAAACAAATGTTGCCCTATTGGAATAGATTTGTATTCTTTCATTCTCGTCTAATTTCTTTGATACGACTCCTGAGCAATATCGAATGATACCTTACTTCTTCATTTTAATATTCAAACAGAGCAGTTACACTCAAACCTGGCTACACTATCTGTAGATTTCTTTTTCACAACACTATATAGATTTCACACCAGAGAGTATAAGTGAATTAATTGAAACAAACGGAAATCATCTTTTCTAATAGTTGCGAGGATCCTAGCGAAAAGAAAAGGGTTGTGATTGTTACGAAATAGATGAGCGGCGAAGGATTGGCTTGTAAGTGATGAAATATTCAATCTCTTTCTTGTCCTTAATGAAAGAGCCTACATCGTATATCTTTGTGAAAGTAAGAAGAAATCGATCGTACAACGAATCCTATCTATTCTCACCGTATGAAATTTCATTGTTTAGTCGCTCTTTTCACTTCTCGGGAATTCTTTTACCTCTCTATTGAAGAAAAAGAAGCAGGGATGGAGTATCGGTTTGCAGGAGAATGGGACGTTGAAAAACACTAGGAAACCGCATCAACCAGTCCCAGGACAGGAAATGCCCACACAAATCCCAGAAACAACCAGTACGCCAAAGAACAAACTTTCGCATGACAATGTCCGAAGTTATGAATCATTAAAAGGAAAGAAATAGAACAATAAAATGTTCGAATACCATCCTACGAACCGTCCATGTTTAAGCTGCTGCGAGGTTGGTACCTCTTCTTTTTCAAATACAATGGCTAACTTTGTGGCGATTTCGCCTTCGTCGGATCCAAAACATACTTAACTCCCTAGATAACGTAAGGTCACCGTTTGTTGTTCACACACGATGAGCTAGGAATCATTGAAAATGTTAGCTAGAAAGTTATCACTAGCAATAGCATTCATGAGCTAGAAGCCAAAGTAGCTTAGAAACGTATAATGGACGTTTTAAGGTTGTCTCTAACAAATTATCCTTGTCTGAGCTCGAAAAGAGACTACTACAGAGTCTTTAATATGTCCTCTTCTTACTATCATACTAGAACAAAGTGAGCTTCGCCTTCATGAGCTTCCACAAAGATAACGATATAGAAGTCCATGAGAATTGGTGGAGCGAATTCAATGGTTCTACTAACACGATTATTAATGAAAAGGCACATAATACGTCTATCATTTAGTATTCACAAACCCATCACAACTACTGTCTGAATAATGGTTAGATTTACGGAGATTTTATAAGATGGCGGCGGCACATAGCACAGTACTCAGAGGTCTCCTGCAGTGCATACAGAGTCGTTTGTTTGATTCTGAGTATAGGCCTGATAAAGTTCCGCATCCTTCCGTGGTCGGCACATTGCTAAGTATCTCTGTTTCGATGTCAAAGCTGAATGTACGGTGGATTCCTCAGTGATTATTCGCATCTAAACGTCTAGCATTTTCTCCTTATATCTTGAGCGGACGTGTGGCGTAGTGGGAATGGTGTCATTTGTCACAATTACAGTGCTGGTTTGACTCCACCTCCTGCCCACCAAGCCCCTAACCCTCCGGGGTGGGAAAATTGGTACCAACCTTGTCTGGCATTAGTCCAGTCCTTTTAATCCAGGTAAGAACGCTCTTGCTTGGATCGCAATTGTTCAGAGAGAATCACTCAACCATCATTTAATGACACTCATAAAAAAAGATGACAATCATCGAGCATTAGTCGTACCCAGAAGCGAGAAGTTCGAAGACGTTCGCAAATGCTGGATTTGAGGGAACAAATCCAATGTAAGTGCTGGAATCTGCACAAAGGATGTGAAAATGGATAGTGTAAAAAACCCTGTAAACTGACATAATGTAAAACGTTTTTGGGACTGAACATTTTCCAGGCTATTGATTGTTTATGCTGTGGTGTTATGGAGCACATCTGCAATGGGTACGACTCTGCTGCAGAACACCCCACCTAGCCGTTTGCTTCGCATGCGTCGAATGGAGTATGCAAATCGCAGCACTTTCCTCGAGCGTCGCACTGTAGGCGAAGTGCAAACGCAAAACGAGCCTGCAAACACGTGTGATCACGACCTCGAACGAATGAACGAGCGCACGTCCTGTTGAGGAGGAGCTATTGTCAGAAGACTTGTTGACCACCGCCGAATCCGTGGGGTTGCTTACCTGGGTCATTTGCAAACTCCTGAGGATTTCCGCCAATAAATCAAAAATTTTACTTCTTCAGGTGAAAAATGATTGCCTGCATTAGTATGAATGCAACTAAAGACTTCAGAATGCACGCTACAATTTGTAATTGATGTTGGAAATATCTGTAAATACTGGCAGTGAATTATTAGCGCATTTTTAAGAATACAACTCAGATTTTTAGGTGAACTTGAAAAAATACTGCTTGCATTTAGCCAGATGAAGAATATTTTATCTATTACCATTTTCTTTTTCTTTTCTCGGACGTGTGGAGCGCAATGGTGGCGAGCGTCATACAATGCACACATGGTCGTTGTATCGACCCAGCGCGCCGGGTTCACCAAACCTACTCTAGTGTCGGGAAAGGGACACCACATTTATGTAGGACGAAAGCCGTACTGACCTAACGCATCGGTAGACCACCGTAAGCATAGACCAAATATGCATTCAATGACCTCTAACGATGCTTGATGAAGTTGACTGCCCGGTGCATCTCTCAGGGATCAATGCTGGAAGCGCTATCCTTTATCCTTTATTCGTATATAAAGAGCTCATCAAAAATGACGAAGAAAAACTTTATAAAGTTCGATGTTTTTTACAATAATATAAACAATGAATTCACATTACATGTTCAACAGAGTGCGCGTTCAGCACTAAATTGCTCTACATGGTTTTTTTTTCATCTCTGCCGATTCTGCTCACCTCCCATTTTTCTAGTTCACAGGTTTAACTAGGTGCTTCAAATGTGCATTAAAAAAATAATAATAAATCGAAAAAGGTAACCTTCATTTGCTGTCTACTAAGAATTTCGCGGCAACGTACGATGTGGAATACAACCACAATGATGCTGAGACATTTGCAAAACTTGAATCCTAGGCCAAATCGAATCGCGATCACTCTTTCTGGCCCCTCGCGTATTGTACACTGCAGCATTGAGGCCTTTATTGCTGATACACTGTCAGGTAGAAAACTAGCTGACAGAAAATCAAAGCAAGGATTTGAGAGGTGCAGTGTGCAACAAGCGAGCCTCCCGCAAAGGGTAACTGTGGTCCGATCTAGCTTGGGATCTATCTTTTGCAAATAAATTGACAATTATTTCTGAACGACGCTTAGAAATTATTAGAAACTATAATCGATAAATACGAGGGTTCTGATATGATGTCCGAAAATACGTCATGAGAGTGAGTTTGATTGCGGAATTAGCAGCGAGACGCGGAATGGGCGACGGTATTAATTGCGAACCCGCGGCCAGTTCGGCGGGTGCTGCTATGCACACGTCCGCTAACTTTCACCTCGTTCAAAGAACCAGTGAAGCAGCCTTCATTTCCCTCAGAACTACCAGTACGAAAGGAAAACACATACCTCCGGTGAAATCTGGATATTACCAGGAGTACTACAGCCGCTTAGCGACTAGTCCTCCAATTCTGATGTAGTTGGAGAAATCCTAACGGAATATTAGCAGCTGTATAGAGTCGGACATTAAGGAAAAAATAGGAAAGAAGAAAACAAGACAAAGAGGAACGAAAAGGTAAAAGATTAAATAGACATATCTAAGAGGCAATTGAAGATCGGCGGTGAACAGTGATATTCTGACCAAAACGATTAATTATCAAGTAGATTAAGAAAAGTTCGTAGTGGGACCAATTTTGTCAGAATGGATGAATGTCAGCAAAACGATACTCGGAAGCTGCACCACCGACCAATGCTACTTTTTTCATGATAAGGAGCATCGCGTTTAAAAACGAACTTTACTGAAGGAGCTCAGTTACATAGAATTTTATGCTGATTCCATTAGAGTGGTGTTCTTCAGTGTATGCAATCATACTAAATCCTCCTCTAATCAGCTCTCTTTTCATTGATTAAGATGGCGCTGGTAACGCGCTGATTAGAGATGCTTTGCGAATGATACGAAGAGTTCTTAGTTCACTCTTAGACTCCGAACAAACGAATCCCTCTATTCCTCTGGAGTCGATAAATTTGTACTGTACTTCAACATAATAGAAGCTTAAAAACACTGAGCTGATACATCGTTTAGCCACCTCGATACAGGGAGAATATGTATTCAATCACCTTTACGATATCA